CATGGAGGAAGAAGCACATGCGTTAGACACACAGGGAAATCAATAGTTGATCTTTCATTTGCTTCTCCAGTTGCAGCCAGAAGAGTCGCATCATGGGAAGTCTCAGATCGAGAGAGCAAAACAGATCACAGATACATCGAGATCAAGATTAGTAACACCATGATGCAGAGAACGAAAGAGAGTCTTCCGCAACCTATGAGATGGGCAGTCAAACAAATGAACAAAGATATGTTATCAGCGGCTATAATAGCCAGCTGCTGGTCTAAACATATCAGGAACGAGGAACTATCAGGAGAAGAGATCGAAGAGACGGCTAAAAGGCTTCAAGGCACTATGATAGATGCCTGCAACATAGCCATGCCGAAGACGGGAACAAAAATGCGCAAAGCCATGCCGTGGTGATCCGCAGTACTAGGCTTACTGAGGGCAGATCTGTCCACAGCTCGAAGGAGACTAAGAAGACTGAGAAGAAGAAGCTACCAGGACGATGAAAAACTTCAATGGAGAATTCATGAGTTCAGGTTGGCAAGAGACACCTTTGGTAAGGCAATTAGAAAGGCTAAAGCAAAAGCATGGGAGGAATTTGTTCTTACCCTAAATGAAGATCCATGGGGCAGGCCATACAAGGCCATGATGAACAAACTAAGAAGATGGGCCCCACCCTTTACCGAATCACTAAATAGCGGGACCCTGAATCAAGTACTGTCGGGACTCTTTCCGGGAGAAACAGAGGATAACTGGAGGGAACCGGATCTGCCTAACGAGGGGGAATCGGCATGGAGAGAAGACCTAATAGTCACCCAAGAGAAGATTATGCTTGCGGCGAAGAAAATGAGAGAAAAAGACGTAGCCCCAGGGCCAAGCGGTATCCCAGCAAAAGCATGGGACTCAGCGACAAAGGATATGGCAAGAGAGCTGAGAGAACTCTACTCAGCATGCCTTAAAGCCGATAGGTTCCCGAAGAAATGGAAAGAGGCTAAATTGGTACTTTTAAGAAAGCATAACAAACCAGACGACCAGGCAGCCGGGTATCGCTCAATATGCCTATTCGACGATGAGGCGAAGTTGCTCGAGAGGATCATGTCGAACAGGATAATATCCCACCTGGACTCCAGAGGACCGAATTTGAACCAAAGACAATTCGGATTCAGGAGGGATAGGTCAACGATAGACGCCATCTCATTCGCAAGGGCTTTTATGGAGAATGCATTTGAAGAAGACAAGGTAGTGATAGGAATATCACTCGATATAAAAAACGCTTTAACTCCATGCCATGGAGGATAATTGGTAAGGCTCTAAACAAGCATAAAGTCCCGTTATACCTGAGAAGGACCATCAGGGACTACTTAAATGACAGGACGCTCTCATTCCCCAGAAGTGACGGAACTATAGTCAAAAGAGACGTGCAAAGAGGAGTCCCACAGGGTTTCATTCTGGGGCCATTACTGTGGAACATCGGATTTGACGACGTTATGAGGAAAGACGACAACGAAATAGAAGGCCGCATTATATGTTACGCGGACGATACGCTAATTCTGGTATCAGGAGAGGATTGGGACATCGCTACGATGGAAGCCAATTTTACAGCCGGCGCAGTGATCCAAAAAATCGAGGAGATGGGGCTAGAGATAGCCCCTTCCAAGACCGAGATCGTTGGATTCCACTTGAAAGGTAGACCAGCGAGCTCATCTATAAACATTGCAGGAAACGAGATTTCGATAGGTCAAAGGATGAAGTATCTAGGATTAACACTAGATAGCAAATGGACTTTCACAGAACATTTCATGGATCTAGCGCCCAGACTGGAAGGATCGGCTCTCACACTAAGCAGGCTCCTGCCAAACTTAGGGGGACCGAACGATAGGGCGAGAAAACTGTACACAAACGTCATTAAATCTATAGCGTTGTACGGAGCGCCAATCTGGGCGTATTCGGTGTACAGAAAGGCTATACAAATTCTAAGAGGGGCCCAACGCCGAATCACGGGTAGAATAATAAGGGCGTACAGAACAACCTCACACGCGGTAAACTCAGCTCTGGCAGGAGTCCCACCATGGGAACTGGAGGCACTGTGCTACGAAGAGATATATGAAAGGGTCACAATCTTGAGAGGAAGAGGAATCCCAGTCAACATGAACGAAGTGGAATCCATCAAGGAGAAAGATGATTAAAAACTGGGAGGAATGGCTGAAAGAAGCAACACAAGGAGAAGACTCCATCCTCGGGGCAGTGGGAGGCCAACTGAAGGAGTGGCTAAACGCGGGAGTGGGCCTCCCCTTCCGAACGACGCAGGTCCTCACGGGGCACGGATGCTTCGGGAGGTACCTGTGTCGAATCGGAAGGGAGGCCACAAACGGATGCTGGCATTGCAACACGCCAAATGATTCGGCAAGACATACACTGGGCTATTGCCCGGCTTGGAACAACAAGCGGCCGGAACTGAGAAGGGTCATAGGCGTAGACCTCACGTTGAGGGCTGTCATAAGAGCCATGTGCAGGCAGGAAGGAAAACAGGCAGTCATCTCCTTCTGTGAAGAAGTGATGACGAGGAAAGAAGTTGCGGAAAGAGACAGAGAAAAAGAGGCTCAACTTCGCGACGCAGGATAACGGATAGGAATAAAGTGTGCGAAACGCATCCCTGGGGTATTAGGGGGGGATAGTTTATTATAGTATAATAGGGGAGGGGGGAAAAATAGAGTAGCTAGGAATACCCAGGGATGCCAGACCACGTGGAGATAGGTGGGACGACCGCACCGACTAACGGGACGGTCAGATGACCGGTCGACCCGGACATCGTCACCGCGGGGAGGGGGCTTCTCCATCTCTAATTTAGTTTACCCTCCCCGCGGCCCACGTGCCTTCGAGGCAGACAGGAGGGGACATACGATGTCACCGACTAGCGGGGACATCGGTCCCATAAGGTATCGATACG